TAATGGTTAAAATGGTAATGGATAATGATCATAATAACAATGATAATAATAATGATGATGATGATGATAATAATAATAATAGTAATAATAATGTTATTATTATTATTATTTTAATGGGCCCAATTTGTTTCAGTTTTGGAGCTCAGTTTTTGTCCTCCTGGGCACTGTTTTATCCTATTTTAAGCTTCCAAATTAAGTGCAAGCTTTTTCCAAACCCATCCTAAATTCTATAGTGAAAGTACAAATTAATCAGGCATAAATCTGTGCTACATGCACATATGTATATATAAATATTTTATTACACTTCATTTTAAAGCCAGATTTAACAGAAATATTCCTGTTTTCCTTACAACATTAATTTTCCTGGAGATATTTTGGATGACACTGATCACCAACTCAGAGAATTTTCCCTCAAGCCTTTTTTAATCCTAAGTTTTAGGAGTGCTTTAAAAGAAAATTTCTCCATTTTCATGTGCTAAAATACTACTTTACCTAAAAATTAAGTTTTCAGAACTAAACAGGGTGAGTTTTGTGTTTTGGATTAATTACTCTGAGGGACAAAGTGGGGACCAGCTCTATGAACACCAAGTTAAAAAGTTTATGCACAAAAATCCTCAAGAAACCCCAAAAAATCTTGTCTGTAAAATGCTTCTATTTAAGTATAATTAAATATTTAAACACTTTTATTTACCCATAAATAGAGTTTCCATAAATACTCTGGGATTTCACAGGGAGTTTGTACAAAGCACAATTGTTTCCACACTATTCTTTTCCTTTTTGCTCCTAAAACCAGGAGCAAATTTAGGACAACTTATTACAATTCCTGAAGAATTATCAGTTAAAAATACTAATTTTTCTTCCAAAACAATCAAGAAGTTTTTAAGCTCCAGCTGAGCTGCACTGACTTTTTAATTGAATTTTTTCTTGTAACAAGCATTTCTCCATGTGTTTTATTCCAGGAGCTGTGCTGGAACCGGGAAAACCTTTTGGAATTCCACAGCAGCAGCAGGAGCACAGAATTTCCACAGCTCAATTCTCCCCCTCCAAATTCCCTCTCATACCTTCAGAAAACAACTCAGCATCATCTTAATGCTACTGCCCTCTGCTGCTCCTGGGTTGGGGATAGGGAAAAAAATTCCTCCCTTGGATTAATTTGTGACTGAGCAACTCAAATAAAGGATTGCAGTGTATTTAAATCCAGAATATTCCAATTAAATTAATTATATACAAATCAAATTTGTATGTAATTTGTGCAAATTAAATTTGTGCAAGTTAAAAATTGCATTAGAAGGTTCCTGTCTTATTTTTGGATAATTTAAATAGCCATGTTTTAATAATATTTTAATATCTGGAAAAGTAGTCTCTGAGATTATTTATGCATCCTGGTAAATGAAATAAAGGTCAATTTTGAGAGGTTTACATTTCTTCAAGGGAGTGCCAATGGATCCCTGCTCCAGACTGGAATAAAAACAATAAACAGGTCTGGGAGTGGAAAACTTTGAATTAAAAAATTACCATTAACAACATTTAACATTGTTAAAAATTAACATTGATTTTTGGGATAATACATTCAGTTTGGGGTTATATGTGGAGTTTTAGGATAATATATTCCATTTTGGATAATATTGCATTATTGAAGTCATCAGAGGCAAAGTTCAGGGCCAGAAAATGCAATTCCTGCTCATCCAAAGCTTCACCCATGAGCAGAAGTGTGGGATGGGATGGGATGGGATGGGATCCATGGGATGGGATGGGATGGGATGGGATGGGATGGGATGGGATGGGATGGGATGGGATGGGATCCCCTCCCTCTCTCCCAGAGCACCCCTTTGATTCCAGGCTCACTTGGGACACACTTGTGTCCACAATTCAGAAAATCCCAACTTTTTTTTTGGCAAAACAACGTGGCTGAAGCAATCCTGCAGATTTATCTCCTCCAAAAGCTCTTTGCACTCTCTGGCTTTTTCCTGCCAGCCCCATCCTGGATTTTCCTGCTTTTTCCCACTCCCCTACAGTGAATTAAATGCTGCAATTGTCCCCAGTTTTTCATTCCTGAGCAGAACAAATCGTTGGCTCTCCTTGAACACACACAATCCTACTTTAGATTTTAAAGGACCTCAACTTTTCCGTTTAAGAACCAGGCAATAATTAAAGACCATTTCCCTGGTGCCATTTAATTAATCCCTAAATTGGAGAAGCACTGGCAGTGAGGGTGTATAACATGGAATGGCTCAAAAACAGAATTAAGGAGTGGGAAACTCCCAGAATTGTCCTGTTTTTTATATCCCAGGTGTATCCCTGAGGCACAGGACACACTGAACATCTCCTGGGATGATCAAAACTCCAAGGAAAAAAAGGATGGAGGTGGGAAAGAAGGAGGGCAGGTAATCAGAGGAGACAAAAGTGAAAATTTCTGGTAATTCCTAAGGATAAAATGCAAAGATAAAAATAAGAAATTCCCACTTTTCTGAGGTTTCAAGGCTCAGCTAATGTGAAGCTTTAATTATTTTTGCAGTTTGGGGTTTTTATTAAACGTGCACTGAAATCTGAAACTTCCAGCTAATAGAACACATGTGGAGGTAGACAGAGCTCCTCTGGAATGATTTCATTCATTCCATGCACAGGGATGCCAGAAAAACAAAATCTGAGCTCAGAGCAACCACCAGGACACAGAAGGCAAGAGGGGGGGAAAGCACAATCAGCAAAATTCTGCAGAAAAGCCAAGATTTGGTACCTGGACACCTGAACCTTGGAGATTTCCCTGCTAACATCTCATCAAGGTTTGTGCTGTTTTCTGCCTCAGCTCCCAGGAACCTCCCAAGTTCCTGCTCTGTGAGCCTTTCACTGGGAATTGGGATGGAGAAGCTGCAGCACCAAACCTCACCTGCTCAGGGGAACCCCCAGCCCCTGCCCTGTGCCCAGAAAATCCTGGAAAACAGGAATTTCCACTGGGAAATAGTCACAGGGAGCATTCAGCAGCCAGGCTCACATTCAGTCTTCAGTGAGGATATATTTATTATTCAGCTGAGAACACTCAGCAACAGAAGCCCCACATTATTCCTGATTCTCCATATTCCTGATTCTCCAAATTAGGCTTCAAAAGATCCAGGAAAAAGCCTGGAAAATAATGGACAGGTGGGAAAACTGCAGGAGTTTCTTTGTGCTGCGTTTCCCAGCTCTCATCCCACTCCTGGTGCCAAGGAAAAGGGATCAGTTCCACTCCCAGCCTTAAACCACCAGCAGGGTTTAGCTGAGCTGCTTTAACTCCTCCTCCTGGGCAGTTTTGGGGGCTCACAGGTCCCACACAGCTCCCCCTCTGCTCACCCCCCTCCAGGGCTTCAGCTGCTGTTGAAGCTTTCAGTAATTAATGCCAAAAATCCCCAAAATATCTGCTTGCTCCTGGTTTTTAATCCACTAAAAACACCAATTTCCCAGCAAATACTTCTGGAGGAGCTGAGGGCTCCTGGGAATGCTCCTGGTGATGCTCAAGGCACTGGAGTTTCTTCACACCAAAACACAGCTGAGTGAGTGAGGGAAAAGCAAAAACCCAGCACTTCAACCTTTGCTCTAACCAAAGTTTAAAAGCAGAGTTCAGAGCACAGATAGTTTAAAAAAATTCCTTAAACCTGGATGTCAAACTGATTTCCCATCCACGTGTGTACAGCCAACAACCACTGAGGCAGGAGAGAGGTTATCCCAAATCTGAGTGATAGTACAGAGAGATAACATCATTTAAATCCAAAAAAAGATCATTAATCTTGGTTTTCTTCCCTGTCTCACATCCATGACACAGCCCTGTCAATGCACAGACACACAAATTTGTGGACACACAAATTTCCACAGAAATAGAAAATGCAAGGGGAAAATAACGCTGTGAGGTTTTAATTACAAATAAGTTCAATTGAATCTACGTGCCACACTCAGAAAGATATAAAAACAACCCAGTATTAAGGAGTATTTTGGACAGCAATATTTCACAGAGAAGGAAAAAACCCAATAAATACCAAAAGAACATCTCCAAAAAATCACCTTCCTGTAATTTGGACAGCAATATTTCAGAGAGAAAGAAAAAACCCAATAAATACCAAAAGAACATCTCCAAAAAATCACCTTCCCAAGATTCACTTCTGCAAAAGCACCTCTGAGGCAGCCCTGAGCAAAGAACATTTCCAGGATTTATTTTCCTGTTGAAATCCAAATACTGTCAAGTTCAGAGTGCTGGGGGCTCCTCTGAGCCCCAAACCCTGCTGATGGCAGAGCCTCCATCCCAGCAGGATCCCAAATGTCTCCCAATTTATTCAGATTCACAAGAACCAAACAATTCCTGGTGAATCTGACTTGTCTTGTTGACTGAAACTTTAATTTCATTCAAATATGTGGAGAACTCAGTTTTAAAACAGATAGACCAACATTAAACATAATAATAATCACACTCTAATTCATGAGGCCTGGAAGCTTCTTGCAGGAGGGTTTTTGTGCTCTGTTTTAGCAGAATTTAACATTTTAAGTGTGTCTGAGATCAAATGTGAGCAGTTCTGGGAATCCTGAGAATCCTGAGCTCAGTCCCATGGTCAGTGACTCCTCAGCCAAGGAAAAGCTGCTTTTCCTCACCTGCTGTTTGCAGGAACACCTCATAAAACCTCTCATCAACAAGAACAACAGCAGATCTGCTTCCCTCAGGACAGCCATGCCATGGGAAGGGATAAAATGTAAATAAAAAGAGTAATTGCTCCAATAAATGTTGGGTTCCTGGGGACTGGGGAGAGCAGACAGGAACACCCTGGGCACTCTGTCCTCAACCCAGCTCCTCCTTGCACAGGGGACAGGCCAAAGGAGGGAGAAAACAGAGGGAGAAAACATCCTGCAGGAATGCTGAACCAAGCTGAGCCAAATGTGAAATATTTCCATCAGCTTTTAGCCTTTTTCATATTTTTTCTTTCACCAGAGCAGGTTTGCCTCTTTAAAACAGGCACTAAAAATGGGGATTATCCCAATGAACATCAAAGACCAAGGAAAATGCTGCTGGAACCCAGTGCTGCTCCTACCTGCCCGTCCTGACCCACGTGGACTTGGTGGATCTGCAGATTTCCCTGGAAAAGGAGAGAAGGGACAATCAGCACAAGTTTGGGATGGAAAAAACTGCAGAAAAATCTGTTTAATGAGAAGAAAATCTGTGAATTTAGGAAGGTTCTTTAGGCAATCCAGCTCCACTCAGCCTCAACAGCAAGGACCTTTCCCAACCAGCATGTTTTGCTTTTGGAAGTTATTGGATAATCTGGTTTTATGCAAAATTTTCTGAGGTAAAACTTCTGGTTTTCCTTCTTTATATAAACCTGCAAATTGAAATCCAGCCCTATCCCAGAATTAGCAATCTAACACTTTTACAGGGTTGCAGAGCTATTTACTATTTGCTTTTTATTTATCCTCATTTCATACTGAAAACCAACACAGTTCTATTACAGGGATTACATCAATAATAATAATAATAATAATAATAATAATAATAATAATAATAATAATAATAATAATAACCACAACAATAACAAAATCTCGATAAATCAAAGTATTTTAAGCTCCCAAGTCCAATCAGGAAATCTTTATGACATGAAGTTTTTATTCACATGCTCACAGATGTCCTTCCAAAAGTACACTTGGATTAAGGAAAGGCAGCTTCCCAAAAGAGCCTTGCAGTGAAACAGCACATTTTGGAGGACAAAATCCCCTTTTTTGTGCAGTTTCTCCTGCTGGCAGCTCCTCTCTCACTTGTGTACATTGTCATCAATTTAAAACCAGATGTTTTCATCTGTCAGGGACAAATGCAGCCTTTGAAAGTCCCCCAGACAAGAAGAGCCAAAGGATCCAGGCTGTGCTGGAACCTCAGGACCCAGTCCAGCAATCTCTGCTGAATCATCAGTTTTTAGTGGTTCTTTACCCAAAAACTCCCTCAGTTTTATGGCAGCACCACACTTTAGAGCCAGGATATTTTAATCCTTTCTTCTCCCTCTCAAGGCCTGACAGGCCCTTCAAAGGACAAGCCTTTAACTATAATATTTATAGAATTTTTATGATAATATTTATTCTCCAGTAGCTGCCTGTGTTAACAATACTCCTTCACAAAGTGGTTTTATGAGCTGTGATTTGGGTTCTTTGGACAGGGATTAAACCAAGCCAGGCAGATCCACTTCCCAGCAAGGGAAAAACCCTGACAGGGAGATGGGACAGATTCAAATTGTTGCCTGTATTAATGTTTAACCTGATTTTTCTATTCCTTCTGCATTTAAACAAAGTGCATGAGAAATCCAAGAGCAGTTTTAGCAGTCAGGAGATTTTTAAATAATCAACAACTGCAGCAAATACACAGGGAAATCCACCTGGATTTGGGAGCTGAGCCAAAATTGGAAGGTTTAGGATTGAATTTATCCATTTCCAGCTATCCATATCCATTTAGCCATCCCAATCCAGTGGACTATTTTTCTGGACAAAAATGAAGAAGTGCAAATACTGCAGTGCCAGATAAACTGGTCAGGAATGGAGGGTAAATGCATCCTGGAATATTTCTTTATTAGATGGTGGCTGAAGGTTTCTCCAACTCCTGTTCAACCACTGAAGGCCCTGAGTGTTCTGACCACATTTAGTTCACCAGCCTAAACAGAATAATTTCATTTTTAAGCACTGCAAGCACCTGGTTTCCTATTAAACTCTGTCAGTACTGAATTTCCAAAGATCGTCAGCCTTACGCAACAGTTAACACACACTGAGCTGTTTTGGCTAGTGAGGGAGGGGAAAATAAATCAAAATAATAAAATTAAAATAAATATAAATAGTAATACTGAAAAAGAAGCCCCCAAGACCCCAGAGACTGAAGCAGCAGGTTCTAAAGCACATTTTTCTGCTGGTTCCAGCCCATTTCTCATTTTCCCTCAGCTCTCAGGGTCCCACAGAGCCCCCCAGGCTTTGCTCACCTCGCTGTCCTGCGTGATCTGGACCTGCTCTCCCTGGGGCACCTGGGCTATGTGGAGATGGCCCTGTGGGATCCACAACAAAAGAAAACACCAAGGAGCATCAGAGGAAAATCACAGCTCCAGGAAGCAGCTCCTGCCTTGCAGGCAGCAGAGTTTCATGGGGAGAAGCAAAACGTGCAACGAAACCATCGGGGAGCTTTAAAAATACAAAGTGCACCTGTACTGCCCCAGCTCTGGATGGAAATAAAAGCAGAGGGACTTGGACCAAAGACTGGCTCATGTCCACTTCAGGGGAAGGAAAACAGGAGGAATAATAATAATAATAATAATAATAATAATAATAATAATAATAATAATAATAATAATAATAATAATAATCTAACAAGTGTATTTTTCTATTGCCTTTTTGACTGGCATACCAAGCCTAGGGTTGACTTGCTTTGTTGACTGAAACTTGAATTCAATTTAAATATCTGAAAAACTCTGTTTTAGAACAGATATACCAATAGTAAATATCTCCAAGAGTGAGGTTTCCAATCTCATTTTCCACCTATTTTTGCTCGTTCACTGGAGCACAGACCACGCCAAGGACTCTCAGCTGCTGGGATCTGGCAGGAAATCATTAATTTGAGCAATTCCCCTGATTTATGTTGGTGAGAATCTGCCCTGATGGTTTTTATCCTGTAATATTTGGAATTGCTGCCCATTCCCACCACTCTCCAGGTCCCATTTGCTGCCAGCAAGGAGAAGAGTGGCTGGAATTCCTCGTGCATCCTGCCCAGCCCAGCCACTGTGATTTACCTGAGGGGAGATTGGATTCTAAATAACCTCCTGGAGGTTTTATAAAGCTTTGTGTTCATTTTAATATGCCTGCATGAGATGAAAGATAATCATTTGGAATTCTGTCAAAGGCCCCTCTGATTTTATAACACAAGAACAATTGCCTGTGATTTTCAAAGACACACAGATCCCTCTATTTCCAACAGTTTCATTTCCTTTGGAAGGAAACTGCCTATTTATAGGGAGAAAAACCACACTGAAAGTGTCCCTCTGACAATAGGGGCTGGAGAGAAAATTATAGCACTGCCCAGCCCAGGGGGAGATTAAAATCACTTTCCCTCCTTCACATCAAACTCTCAGTGCTCCCAGGAAAAAGATGGAATGTTTAGAAGATCCATTTATAGCAGGTTTTTCCCTGGATTCCACAATTTGGAGGATAATTAATATGTCCAGGTCTTTTAATGAGGCAAGTTTTTATCACTTCCATCTATAAACAAACCATCTTTTCTATAAAGTCACATATTTCATGTCATTTTCCTTGCTGTCTTGTCTTTCAAGACTTTTTTCAGTCACCAGTTAAATCTCACCCACAGATCCATAGGAAAATCCACTTTTAAAATCTAAATGTGATTCAAAAGACAAAGAAATTCCCAGGATAATATTGAAAAGTTATGGCAAAAGTGAATGGAAAAGGAAGATTTCCACCCAGTTCCTGCACAAAGAGAATTATTTCACTGAGGACGCTTTTTAAAAAGAATTTGAATTTCAAACAATCCTTGTAGCGCCCTGTGGGACACAAGAATTAAAGTGAAGGTGGTTTTTTTTCAGAGTACACTAAAACCACAGATAAAAACCATCAGGTCTGAGTGGTGGTGGGAGTGTCAGGCTTCAAAAATGTCAATATTTAGAACTTTCACTGATAGACAGAGAGCTCAACAAACACACATGGGAAGGACTCAGCTCCCAGATGTTCAAAAGTGCCTGAGATGCAGTTTTACAGAAAAACAAATAAATAAATGTGATTTTGTTGTGGAATCACACCAGAACTACCTCTGAAGCATAAATCACTAAGTAAACACAGCCAGGAAAAGGCTGATAATTCTCCATATAATAACCAAAGAGCATTGATTGCGCGAGGAAATCCTGCATGGAATTTTTTTGTCAAATAACTCAATTTATTTATTTTTTTTTCCCATAAGCCTGCAGCATTTGTTTTGTGGACACCTGAAGCGCTGGCAGGCTCTGATTTCCCCCAGCATCAGCCTGCAGCTGGAGCAGGGGTGTAGGGAAGGTGAGCACATACTACTTGCACTTGTCCATCCTCTCCGATCTGGTGGATCTGGACCTGCTGGGCGTTGGCCAGGGCGTAGTGCAGGGCCTGGGGCTGGTTCTGCTGCAGCTCACTGGAGGCTGACACCGAGCTCTGCGAGCCCTCTGCAACAAAAGACACCAAATTCCCATTTATTTCATGTGCACCATCCTCCAAGCTGCTCCTAAAAACCCCATGGCAATCAAATCCATGGGTCATCCAGCATTCGTGCTCCTGTGCATGAGGGATGTTTGCTAAACCCCACAGAATTCCACAGGCTGGCAGGGCTCCTGTGTGCTGTGTGTGAGGGTCCCAGGACAAGGGAAGAGATGAATCTGACTCCATGTTCTCAGAAGATTCTCTGAGAATACATATTATATTATATTACATTATATTATATTATATCACATTATATCACCTAAATCCCAGATTCTGCAGCTGGAGAAGTCCCATCAGAATAAAACCACAGAGCTGTCCTGAGGAATTCAATGGGTTTTGGTCACCTGAGAACAATTTCTGCCACCACCACCCCAAGAAGGCCTTTAAAAACCATCCTGTATGTTGTGGGAAATGAAATTATTGTGAGAAATAAAATTAATATTATACATATTTATAATTATAATATAAATAATAATATATGTATACATAAATATAATATTTAATTAACATACTATTGGTCATTAATATTATTACTTATTAGTGATATTTAGTCATTATTCTTTCATTATTACGATAATTTATAATTATTATAAATAATCAATTAATTATAATTTATCATTATAAATAAAGGGAATCTCCCAATTGTTTTCCAAGATCCACCCCCTACAATTCATACTGACACACGTGAGGTGTGGAATTGTATATTTGAACCTCAAAATGACAGGTGGATTTCTTGATTTATTAAATCTGAACAGAACTCACACTGCAGAGTGGAAATGCCCCTGAAAAGGGAACATTAAACATAAAAAATGGGAGTTATCTTCATGTAACAGGGACAAAAACCACCAGGAAAACCTCAGTGGGATTTCCAGAGGGTAAAAAACTTGTAATGGACACATCATAGATCCATTCTGAGGTTTTCCAGCTGCAGGGAAAGGATTCTTCTAAACAGAAGAGGCAAAAGGCAAGTAAAAATGACAGAAACCATTAATTTTTAATATCTCCACTAAATACTCCAAGATTTATTCTGCAAACACACTGTTAGTTCTGCAGGAAAGAGCTTTATTCACTCAAATATTTTAATGGGAATGTTCTTTAATAAAATCAGTCATTTAGGGGTTTTTTTTTTCCTCCTGTCTGCAAATGTTTGGGCATGAAGATAATTTTGAGGTTTAGGTCTGAGCATGGGAACTGGGAACTCCAAACCACCAAGCTAATATTTATTTATTTGTTGAAAAGTTGGGTTGGTTGACAATTCAGGCAGCTCTGCTTCTGTTAACGAGCTGGAACACAGAATTCCAGCCACAAATTTCCACAGGAACCGAGGCAAACACAACAAATCCACATTTTTTCTGCCTGTTGGGCACACCTTTAATTCCTTACGTCTCAGCAGGTAACTGCAGAGCTTTTCTAATTCCTTAAATGCAGCCTTGGTGCTCCCTGTGCAATTCCAGGTGGGATTGAGGAATCCCAACTGGCTGAAAAGTGCTGAACATTGCAGAAAAAACTGCCCAAACCAAATAAAAATGGCATTTTTAAACTACATAAATGATAAATGGCGTTTATTAACCAAATAAAAATGGGATTTTTCCATCTGGGATGCCATTTGCTTTGTCATGGCTGCTGGAAGGAATGGATATCCTGGAAAAATCCTTACCTGAGCCTCTGTCTTTCACTTTTTCACCCATTTCTATTCATTTATTCCTAATACTTGATGCAATTCACTTCTCTATTTTTATTTTTTTTTATTTACAAATGGCATTTTGTTGGTATGACTGAGAAAATCCATGGCTATCATGTGCTCCTTCAGGGCTCCCAGCAGCATCCCTCAGGATTTTGAGAGACAAATTCCCCTCAGGATTCTGAGGTACAAATTCCCTCAGGGCTTGGTCTTTCCTTTGTGTTTCCCAGTTTTTCCCTATGGAATTCAACTGAGATAATTACAATTCATCTTCAGCCAAACCACAGTGTGCAAATACAGAATCCTTCATTTATAATATTTATTTTCTGATTAAGTGATGTGATAAAAGATTATCAAATAAATAAAACCTGCAGCAGAAAAATATGTATTTTTTATATATTTATGATATTCACATATCGAAATGCATTTTTAACTGTAAGGCCCAAAAGTCTTGATTTTTAAATTAATTTTGGCTTCAGAGGACAGAAAGTACTGTGCTTTTTGGAGGTGCATGAGGAGCCATAGCCTGGATGGAATCACCCTGAACTTCTCCTATGGTCACCTATAAACAGATTTAAATTTGGCTTCACTGCAACAATCAAAAATGTGGTTTTTTCTTTATTTTCTGGGAATTTTTGGTGGGTTTTTTTTCTCTCTTTGGAAGAAAGAGAGAGGATTCAGCCACATCTAAAACAAAACATCCTTTCTGAGTCCTGTTTTCCCCCCTCTTCATCTCGGAGCAGACAAAGGGAATATTTATCCACTTTTATAAACATTCCCCACTACAAACAAACCCAGCCATGAGGAGCACAGGCAGCGTGGGGAGAGGAGCTGTCAGCAGTGAGAAATCCCTGGAAACCATCGAGCCTCACTTCTCCTATTGGGATTCTTGGAGAATCCCTGGCAGGAGCAGCCACAGCTGAATTCCAGAATTTTCCACGAGTTCCCAAGGGACAACTGGGGCATGAACCCTGCAGAGCATTCCCAAAGAAGCTTCAAGGATATGTGGGTTTAATTCTCAGCTAAAATCATTTTTTAAGGCAGAATCTTTGGTGTTTTCTAATCTGTTCCTATTCATCTGTTGAGGATTTTCATTTTCATGGAATCATGGAATTGTTAAGGGTGGAAAATACCTTTAAGATCATCAGGACCAGCACCACCACCATGGTCACCACCCACCACATCCCCAGGTGCCACATCCATGGGATTTCTGGACACTTCCAGGGATGGAGCCTCCACCACTGCCCTGGACAAACTATTCCAATGCAGGACAATCCTTTCCATGAAGGAATTCTTCCTGATTCCAACCTAAACTTCTCCTGGTGCAACTTTAAGAACATCTCCTCTCATCCTGCCCCTTGTTCCCTGGGAGAAAAAACAGATTCCACAGCAGGAGGGATTCCCACTTAGGAATTCTGGAATTCAAAATTGTTTTTTGGTGCCCAGCTCCACCCTCAGTCCTCTCCTCACAAACAGGGATGAATCTCCTCGTTGTAGCCCCAGCAAGGGAAGGGTGGGTGGATTAACCATCCAAAAACCCCAAAAAAGCAGGAAAAAAGCATTCCAGAACAATGGAAATAAAGCTGTAAACCATCACCTCCCCCTGCCTCAGCCCCAGTTGTGTGGAACAGCTTTGAAGATTTGGCTGCACATCCAGTTTTTAATGTGACACCTCAGCACAGGCCTAAATCTACACAGAAATCCCAAAGTCAGGGAACTAATTAAAAATTCCAACATGGAAAATTGTGATAACAGCCTGAACAATCTGAAGAGAAATGAAAAGAAAGGAAGAAGGCACTCTTCAATTAATCCTCCTCCCAAACCCCTCATTTCCTACAGCATTCCCTGTACAAACTCCAACCATTTCCAGAGGAATACCCAGTGAAATTATCATGACAGCCACATGGATGTCTCTGCATGGGAAAAAACATGGGGAAAACACACTTAGGCACTGAACTGTTGGCTCCAAGAGCAGAGCAGAGCACAGCAATCAACACCTCCTTTCCAAAAAAAGGCAATGGATTCAAACAAACAGCCAGGGAGAACCAGGAAAAGCAACTTCTGCCTGAATTGAACAGTCAGTTAAGTGCAGAAAAATCTTAATTAACATCTCTGGGGGGGGAAGGACAAAGAAATTCCATTTGTGTTTTCCCACTAGGCTCCCCAGACATGATTTTCCCTGCAGGTTGATCCCTCTTGAACAGCAAATTCCAAAGCCTTGGAGGGTCTGTGGGCTCAGCCTCCTGCTTTGCTGTCATTTCCAGAGTTAATTTTGCCATGTGATGAACAGAGCAGAGAGGAAATCTGCTGTCACTTTTCACCACGCTCCAATCAAAGCCACGTGCTCCAGGAACTGTTAATCCCAGCAAGCAGGAAAAGCCTCAAAGCTTTGGCATTTCCAACAAGTGCAAGAGGAGTGAGTTTGAACAACAATCCTGTTGTGATGCAAATAATTCAGAATTTTTAATTGTGTGTGCAATAATTCATTTAAAAAAATTAAATCCCAAATAAATGAGGTAGGAAGTGGACTCTGGAGATGATCTAACCCAATGTCCTTCCTCAAACCAAGGCCTACCAGAGCTGGTGGCTTTGGGCTGCACCCAGGTGGATTTTGATGTCTCCAGGGATGGTGACAAGCTCTTAGTGTGCTCAATCATCCCCAAAATTCCTCAGAGCCAGGGAAAGCAAAGTCAGGGCACAGCTGAGTGAGTTTCAGGATGCCATATTTATGTTTTTTTAAGCTGGGCAAATGAATTGCTGCTAAAACCAACTCTGAAAATCCCAGTCCTCCCATTCATAGGGAAGGGTTTCCAGCACTGCAGTGCCAGGATTTGGGAATACCACAGGAAGTGTTGGACAGGGCTTGGAGCCCCCTGGGATGGTGGAAGGGTCCCTGGAATGGGATGAGCTTTAAGGCCCTTCCCTCCCAGAGCAGGCTGGGATCCCATGGGATAACCACACCAAGAAACCAACCCAGACTCACGATCCTACAGCAGACAAGAATCCACTGGCTCTGAGTTTTACATCTCTACAGGTGCCTCCAAACCTCCAAAACAGACTGAAGATAATTTGAATAATAAATCTCAACACCACTCAAGGAGTACAGGCTAATGAGCACAGGCTGTAACATCCACCTACTGCTGCCTTTTTACCCCGAAATACTGATTGCTGAAAGACTGCAAGTAAAAATCCCATCAACATAGAGGGCTTATGGTTATCATTACATTGATTAGTTGTTTTAATTTGAGATTTTTGGATGGGATTCCCTGTTCCAGCACATAAAATTTTCCATTGAAAGCAGATTTTGTCATTCTTTGCATGAGATACGGTGGTTAGTGTTAACATGCAACCAAAAATTTTATGCAGGCAAATAAACTGACTTCCTTTTCTTTGGGCTGCCTTCCAAAGCCCTGGTTTTAATATCTAATGTACAAAAGTCCCAGAACACTGCTTTATATTAAAAGCATGAGCCAGAAATATCCTCAGAGAACACTCCTGAGGTCAGGATTTTTCATTTGTTATCCAGGCCTCCATACCTAGATGGAAATATGGAATCACCTACAGCACATTTCATGTCTGCAGAGGAAAACACTTCAGGAACAGCATTTAGCACGTCCCACTGAATGGTGTGAACACACTGGGAAGGATTTAGTCACTTCACTCCTCCTAGGAACAACAACTGCAAGGATATTTGGACCTTCTCCTCAAAGAACTGAGCGTGGTAAAAATACAAAATTACAGCACAAAGCTGCAGGAGCGGAATCCATGGGGGTGGACAGAAAGCAGTGTTTGGTGGGATACTGGGAAGGAATTGTTCCCTGTGAGGGAGGGGAGGTTCCCAGAGAAGCTGTGGCTGTCCCTGGAAGTGCCCAAAACCAGGCTGGAATAACCTGGGACGGTGGAAAGTGTCCTTACCCATGGCAGAGGTGGAATTAGATGAACTTCAAGGTCCCTTCCACCCAAACCACTGCAGGATTCCACATTGTCAGCACCTCAGCAAAGCCAGGCAGCCAAATTAAAATTCACCTTGGAAACCAAGAGGGATTTATGACTGGGAGGGAAGGTTTGGTTTGTACCTGAGCCACTGTAGGAGGAGGATGAGGGGGTTCTCCTGGAGAAGCTTTTGACAGCCAGGCTCTGGCCTCGCTGCTTCCTCCTCCAGGCTGTCCTGCACTTGGAGTCGATGCTCTGCTTGATGCGGTACCAGTCCGACTCTGTGATGCCAAACTTGTAAAACAGGTGGCCTGGAAGGATGGGAAAAAGAGATAATTGTATAAATACAGCAGAATATATCATAGAAATACCTTAGAAATATACCTTAGAAATGCCATGGAATAGGACAGACATTGTTGAGAGAGAGATGGAAATAGAAACAAGTTTAAAAGGATGGCCTTACAGAAAGGACTGGATATTTTGGAGAAATAAAACTATGAAAAATGCATTGCAGCAGGACCCATGAGGGGAAATTTGGCTTTAAGGCATTTGCAGTATGGTGTGGCAAAAGCTGATAGGCCAAGAAACACTTATAGTGTATTGTAATTAGGAAGTATTTGACTTCTAATCGTGATGGTGTGAATTATAACATCTGTATTGTCTCACCCTTCTCATGAGACTGAAAATGGAATAAAAGTTTTGAAAACACCTCTCAGTTTCCCCATCTCTGGGTCAGAAAAGGTCATAATCTGACAATAATAATCAACACCAACCTGTATTTTCCAGAAAACACAGAGAGGACACACCCAGTCCCACACACCAGGCTCTGCACCTGTGCAAAGAGCCCCAAAGCTGAGCAGTGACAGGACTTCAACAAAATTTATTCCAAAAAGTCACCTGCACAGTTTTGAAGGTAAAAATGCCAGCAGTGCATGGAATTTTCTCACCTGCACTGGGGTCTGTGGAAGCTGCACTGTTACAAACCAAGAGGAGGATCCAGCACTCCAGAGACAAAGCTGGAGCAAGGATTATTCCTCACTGACAGTACCACACAACAGGTCTGACTGTACAAAACTGCCTCCTGCTGAAGAAGAAAGAAAAAAACCCAACTCTTTTCAAGCTCAGTTCAAAATTGATCCAAATCCAGTAAAAAACACAGCCCAAAATGAGGATGCTCTGCACAGCTGCTCCCAGAATTCAGGCACTTTAAGAGCCTCAGGATGAACTTTGCAGCCCCTGGTGCTGAGTTGCCAAAGTGTTCCATAAACCCAGTGAAGAGTGGCTTTAAAACTGGGAATTTAACTGGGAATGTTGTGCACTGTCAGCTTGAATTATTCCACACTTTCACCATTTCATTGGAGCTGTTTGGATTTTCCTAAAGCACCAGCACTGGACAGCAAAAAACTCCAAGCCCCCACGGTTGCAGAATGAAAAAAAAACCACCTGAAAAATCCATTATTTGCCAATCTAAAAAAGAGGAAGATGGATTTTTATATGGACAGGAAAAGGGGAATGGCTTTAAACTGAGAAAGAAAAGGGTTAGGTGGGATATTGGGAAGGAATTTTTCCCTGTGAGGGGCTGGGATGGAATTCCCAGAGCAGCTGTGGCTGCCCCTGGATCCCTGGGAGTGCCCAAGGCCAGGCTGGAGCACCCTGGGACAGGGCAGGTGTCTCTGCCCATGGCAGGGATGGAATTAAATGAACTTTAAGGTCCTTCCCACCCAAACCATCTCAGGATTCTCTGATTCAAACCCCCTAAACTCAACCAGAGCTCTCTGAACATTGAATATGTTAATACTCTAAACCTTCTGTACTTCAAAATTCAGAGGTGCAACAGTGAACAAGCCAAGGCTGCCAGAGATGCTTTTACTCCACAGGGCAAAGCTTCAAGAATCTCTAAAATTCTCATTTTCCTTTCCCTACCCTGCACAGTAAAATAATCTTTTCCACTTTTCCACTTACTGGGCTTTCCATCTTCCTCTCAGATGGGCTCCTAATCCTGTGAAGGACTTACTTAAGCTGTTGTATATAGAACCTAAAGAACAGGATATGGGGCTGCTCCTGCAAGACAAATGATTTGAAGCCTGGAGCCACAAAATTCCAGGTTTGCACAAACTAAAAGCTCCACAGTTTCCTCTGCATTACAAATGAGCCCAGAGTCCTCAAAGCCTGAAATCTGCAGGCTCTAACAGAGCCAAGTGGAGAACTGGATCTCTTGTGGCATCATTTTTTAAAATAAAATTTATTTTTTCAATGCTTTAATTATTTTTTGTAGGAGCAATTTGAAATACAGGAGAGAACACACAGGAAGAAAACACTGGACTCCAAAATCTACTTCAAAAGTACTTTGAAATCCCCCAAGATTTCTCACTTTTAACTGACAGCAAGAACTAAGAGAACTTTACAACCCTGGGTGGTGTCTCCAAACTGGGAAAGGAGGAAAATGGGCTGAAATTCCAATTTGCTGCTGTGCCAGTTTCCTTTCCATGGGTGTCAGCAAAAGCAGAGAACATTCTGGATTAAGCCCTGAGCCCACAGTGCTCAGCCTCAGCCGTTTCCCAGAGCAAGAGATGCTCAGCAATGTTTGCAGGGGTGCCAAATAAACCCAGATGTGTCTGAACTCCTGCCCCAGCCTCAGCAGCCCCACAGAAAACACCAGCACAGGCTCGGGGTGAGTTTGGAGGAAAAAAGTCCACATTTCACTCATAACTGCATTTTAATGACTTTCCTGGTGGGTTGGTGGCTGGGCTGAGACAGAGAAAAACCCAGGGAAAAGCTGCCTGGCTGGGAGGTGGAACTGTTCCAGTGTCATCCATGGGATATTCCAGGGTGCCACTGGATTTAATCCATGGGATGTTCCAGGATGTTCCAGGGTGCCACTGGATTTAATCCATGGGATGTTCCAGGGTGCCACTGGATTTAATCCATGGGATGTTCCAGGATGTTCCAGGGTGCCACTGGATTTAATCCATGGGATGTTTCCAGTGTCATCCATGGGATATTCTAGGATACTCCAGGATGTCACTGGATGTAATTCATGGGATGTTCCAGGATGTTCCAGGGTGCCACTGGATTTAATCCATGGGATGTTCCAGGATGTTCCAGGGTGCCACTGGATTTAATCCATGGGATGTTCCAGGATGTTCCAGGGTGCCACTGGATTTAATCCATGGGATGTTCCAGGGTGCCACTGGATTTAATCCATGGGATGTTCCAGGATGCCACTCGATGCAAAGGGAAATAAAAGTGATATTAATTACTCAGGACAGGAGGCTCAGGTGCAGTGTGAGGAACAGGCTGAGCACCAGAGCTGAGACACAAAACATCCCCAAAAGTGCTTGATGGAGGGAAGGAAGGAAAGCACCTTCAGAAAACTGAAAGGGAAGAGGTTTAGATGGGATTTTGGGAAGCAATTTTTGGCTGTGAGGGTGGGCAGGCCCTGCCACAGAGTGCCCAGAGAAGCTGTGGCTGCCCCTGGATTCCTGGCAGTGCCCAAGGCCAGGCTGGAATAACATGGAATACTGGAAGGTTGGGATTGAATAAATTTTAAATCACTTCATCCCAACCTATTCCATGATTCTGCCTCCTGCTCATTACTCTGTGCTAAGGAATGGCCAGGAAATGCTGGCAGACACCACCAGCTCCACGGAGAGAACAGCTCCAGAGGAAACCATGGAAAACAGACAACAGCCTCACCAGGACAGGGGCAGACAGGAGGATTTTAGGCTAAAGAGTCCCAAACCATCAGGGACAGATTTTCCAAGCCAGGCATCCTCACTTCTTTCCCTTCATTCATGAAATTCCCAGTTGATGTCAGGGTGGCAAACTGCTCCAGACAAGCAGTGCTGTTTGCAGAGATTTTTACCTCAACTGCAGACCTGGTCATGTGCAAATCAGGCCTGAAAAATTAACTGAAAAGCACAAAACTAACTGATAAAAAACCAAAATGAATTTCAGATGCAAAATCTGTGCAGTCGCTGTCACAATCCAAAATGCTGTGTTACAACCAGGTCCTTAGCAAGACATTTCCTACCAGGAAAAATCTCAACCTAAAGGCACTGGAGGAGATTTTAAGAAGACAAAAAGTTCCCAGTGGCATTAAAAAGATGATTTACCTGCAAGAGAGAGAGAAATCCCTCAAACATGTGCACACAATAGCAGAAGAGGAGCGTGCCGACTGCTCCCTACCCACAAATAATTCCAGGCAGGAGAGATCCCAGCTGCCCCACTCCCAGCCTGTCCCACACCCAACAGTCAGAAATCAGGATATTGGAAATGAGACCTCTCACTTGGGGAAATCCAGAGGAGAGAAAAGACAGGAATGCTCCAGGGAGAAGGGATTGGAGGGTTTTTTGGATCATTTACTCTCAAAAGCTGCATCAAACGCTGACATTTTGCACAGCACAGCATCCACGAGCCACAGAACAGCACAGGAAAAAATCCAGGCAGGAATATAAATCAGCACTTGGACCAAAAGACAATGATTTGGAAGATAGATGCCCATAAAAGAGTAAAGTACAGGATTTAGATGATTTAAGACTGGCTGAGTGTGTTTTTAGTGATCTTTTCATGAATGGTGGCTCAAAAAAAAAAAAGAGATGTCCTTGTTTTAAAACAATAAAAACCCAAAGTTTGCTTTTCTGGGGGGAGAAATCTCATTTCCTGAAGGAAGCTTTCCATAAAAAACACACCAGAGACTTACAAATAATTCAGTGATTTCATAAATTGCAGGAGTTGGGGTGATTTATACAGAGAGATCCTGGCTGCAGCTTGGGAGACAAAAAGGGCTGCAAAGAGAATTCAGGGAGCCACAGGGGAGAAAAGGGGAAATCAAGGATCAACATTCCAATCTTAGCAAGGAAAAGCTCAGGAAGAAGGCAAAAATCAGGAAAATTCAAGTCAGCTTTAAAAGGCAACAGGTGCAGCAGGGATCAGAGACACAGGGAGACAGCTGGGGGAGTCCAATTAAAATTAAAAACAGCAACATAAGCAGGTCTGAAATAAATCTTTCTGTGGTTTTTAAAGGAAATAAAAACTAGGAAATGCAAAGGAAAAAAATATTTGATTTGGTACAAGCACAGAGGTGGTGTCTGAAATGATTCAACACTCCCAAGTTTTTGGAGGATCTGCTGTACAAAATAAGGAGAGAAAGGGTTGGAGTTTCCTAAAAACCAGGATTAATTATAAACTGAGAAAATTCCAGGAAAACCACGTTCCTGGGGAAGTAATCCTCTCTTTCTCAAAGGTCAGAAGTCAAGGAACAAAAGACAAAACAATCCCCACAATCTGTAAAGAAATCAAATTAAGAACA